AAAGTTCCTTTGAACACAGGAGCAAGTTTGATTTTTTTTTTATTTCTCCCATTCCTTTCTCGACTTTGATTTCCTTTTCCATCTTTTTTCATTAAATTTTTCTCTATATTCAATGATGGGTAACAAGAAACCTCGCCTTAGTGATGTGTCAGTGGAACTCTTATTTTAATTTATTCCTATACCATGGCTCTCATCAATTCTTACCATACCGACAGTGGATTACACTAATTGAACATTGCACCTCAAGCTTTAGGCCTTGTTATCTGGGTCTATTGTGCTATGAAAGAGACACTCTAAAAAAGAAGATAACGTAAAACTTCAATATTGGATCCGGCAGCTTTTAAAGAGCACTTCAATTTCTAAGACTGAATTCCATGCCTTTATCATGTATTAAAGCAAATACGTTTACACATATCTGACCCCAGGGAATTATTTACCCACAAATACTACTATACCCTGTTAATATGTTTCATTATCAACCTCCCTAAATCAAATCAGCTGAGAAGTCTTCTTACAGTATGTATGCTGAAAAGGAAAAATAAATCACTTTCTTCTATCTTCATATTTTTAAAAGGGCTTTTGGCAATGATAAAAAATAATCTCTTTGGAATACTTTGTCTTCTTTTTTTAAAACTTCAAACTGTGAAAAATCATGGTTATATGCAAGTTATTTTCTAAGTAACTGAATTCATCCTCTTCATGCCAGCAGTTTTAAACAGCTTGACTCATAATAGGCATTATCTCAAAAAATTCACTCTAGGATCATTTTCTTTGTTTATTTCAAAATAATCCAGCTTTGAGTTTAAGAAGATCAGCAAGGAAACTGTAATCTGCAGTGTTAGATGTACCATGACAACTCAATATTATTCTAGAAGAACGCAGTCAACTAATGTACTAGGCTGGGAGTAAGTGGTGGTAAACCAGGACGTAATTCACACCATGTAGGCAGTTGCTGAATAACCCTAAACATCAAGTAGTACTACCTTACTAAGCAGTAAGGTAAGTATCTGCAATAGAGGGAAGGAAGAAGAAAGGGAGAAATTTCCTTTAAAAATGAGATACAATGGTTACTGTGATTTTATGACAAGAAATAGGTGCTCTAATCTTCCTCTCTTTATCATCTATTACACTGTTTTTATAGCTAAAATCAGTTCAGGCAACGGACTAGAAGCTCCATGAGGGCAATGTTGATATGCCATGTATTTTTTATTTTTCTTTTTTTGGAGAGGTTTTTTGCCATAGGGCGTGTGCACTCGCCAGAAAGACAGAGACAGAAAGCGAGAAATCACCCCCCGGGGGGATGGCCACACCGTAATCTCTTCTCCTCCTTTCTCCTCTCATGATCTTGGGCACACACACACGCACAAGCGCCCAGTTTGAGTTTAAGCCACTGGGTCCAGGACTCAAACTGCGGTCGACTACATGGGAATCCAGCGACACAGCCATTATGCCAACCGCTAGTCCCTGCCATGTATTTCCTAAAACTAACTTTCTAATCCCTAATGCTGGTGGTGTTGCACACTTGTGGGTGTTCGATCAATACTGATCAAATTAACCATAATCTCCATTTTACCAAGTAATAGGCAATGATGAGGGAAAAGGTAGTACCCTTTGCCTCCTTTTTAGGAGAGAGAGTTCTCTCTCTCCTAAGATACCGGGTTATCAGAAAAGTTGTGTTGCATCTTTCTAATCAGCAAAAGTCCATCAAGACTCTTGATGACCCAAGAAATAGCTGAACAAATTCCACTTGTGGCAAAACAAAGTCATGGTTGTTCTAAAACGTCCACTGAAATTACTTGCTAGTATTAGTATTTGTAACTTCAGTGTTTGCATATCCACATGACAAGAAATCCACATTACATGAGGTTTTGATCATACTGGCAATCAAGACATGAAATAAAGGGTTTCTCTAACCCTCTCTAAGCCCTTTGCCCTAGAATGTTTGATATTTATTGCTCTAAGTACTTCAGAATGTAACACTCACTGAAAATGAACCAATACTTTCTCTTTAAAACACATCTTTGCCAATCATAAGGGCAAACAGAACATACAATTTCTAAGAAAAGGAAAGAGAACACAGTGACTGAGCCCTGAGTGGGCCTGGGGAACATAAATATGCATATTTTGGCAGCTGTTTTCATAGCACAATTCCCCTAAAGCAGAACTGAAACTACAGCTTTAATAAGAAGCGCCTATGATTCGTTTGACTAATAGATACTCACTAATTACCTTCAAGTGTCTAAGAATGTTTGGATTTGAAGAAAGCAAGATCACTTGTTCAGGTGCAATTATATTGAACAGCAAAAGTAATGACGGTGGAGAATTTTAACCCTGGGTATGTAATAAAGGCTTCCACGTCTATGGGCGAACTGCCATCGCAGGCCACTAGAGAGCTGATGGTACACTGCGCTTCCTTGCTACTGCCTGTCTAGAATCTTTTTTGCTCTTTTTTTTTCCTATGGGAGTCTTTTGAGAAAAGATGATGTTTACCACGTAGAGGAAAAAAAAAATATGATTCCCCATAAAGGTTACTCATTTCTCTGTTTTCATTTATTCCTCTGTGCTTCTGCTAACACAGATGGTTAACTTATTCACTGCTGCCAGTCTCATTGTCCTCGAGGGTATAGTACACACCCCTGAAGTTGACTCTTCTTTTGGTATAAGTTGAATTCTTTTTTTAAAAAAAAAAGAATTATTTATTTATTTCCATTTATTATTATTATTTTTTCTTTATTTGACAAGAGAAAGAGAGGGAGAGAAAAAGGGAAAGTGAGAAAGCAAGCCACCAGGTCCAGGATTTGAACCATGGTTGGCCATGTGGGAATCCAGCACCCTTATCCACCACACCAACTGCTGGCCCCATAAGTTGAATTCTTAATACATGACTGTAAACAAGTTTCCAACAGTAACTTCTCTTTAGAAAATATTCAGGTCTTATCTGTATCTGGACCCTTCATTTTACAATCTTTGTTTCTACTCATGTGTTTTGGAAAAAGCTGACAAACTTGGTCTGAAATTTCAAAACTTCAAAGTGGTAGGAAAAGAACATGCAAAATAAGTTCATCATTATCATTTTAAGTGCCACCAGTTCTGTTTATATTCATGCACATGTGAATTGCTGAAGCTCATTTGATCAACCCAATTAAACATTAAATAATTGCAGCCAATTATGCAAATATCAGCAACAATATTAATTTGTTGATCTTTTTGAGCAGATTAGCCTCACATGTTCCTAATGCTAGACTATCTCACGCCTTAAATGATCAATTAGTGTTACGATAACTAAGTCTTGAAGAATGGATAATTGCCTAGTTATAATGTGGCACTCTTGTTGTATTAATCCTCTGCAATTAAACAAATAGTGCGCAAGGAGAAAAGATGTGCAGATGTTCCTTTTAAATCTATTTAACAAGTAAATGTCAAGGTCAATTTCCTGTCTTATTACTTAAATGACAATGGCAGATTGCATCGTGTATTAGGAGACCTCCAGTTTATAAAAATGTCTATCCTGAGTCTTCACTAAGTCTGATAGATAGGGCTTAAACTCTTACTGTTTTATGAAAGGAAAAATACAAATACAATGTTCTTCAACTGTCACAATGGGCATGTCTTGCCATACTAAATTTAGAGATGCAAAGTGTAAAATGTATTTATGGCAAACAAGTAATTTTCATTTCTCATAGGAAGTAAAATCTAGTTATTTTGTGCTACTTGACAGTTAAAATTACCTGAAAGTCTTTTCTAGACTACTATATTAAGAATGACGTCAGAGGATTTAGCCAAGGGAAAAGCATAACCCTAGAATTGCTACTTGGTGAGCGCGTGCAAGGGACTGTGAAGACCACCTAAGGCCTGAACAGGGTAGATTCTTCCAAGATGTCAGATCAACAATTAGAAGGCCCCAAAAGACATGTTCACTATTCCTTTTCATCTTATGCTTCTTTAATTTTCATTTTACCATTCCTGTCTAAAAAAAGACCCTATGGCTAAAAGTTTTGGAAAAGAATCAAAGCTCATTTGTTCTATGCTGCTAACCGCCTTAAGGAAACTTTTTCAAAGCATCAAACTTTAACACTGTTTTTTATTTTTTTTTTCTTTGCTCAGAAAAGAGAATGAGATATGATCAGGAAGATCAAAGGTATTAGGATGAAGGAAACCAAAATCCAATGTTTGAGAGCTGACCTTCCAAAGGTAAATGTTTTCTATCAAGATTTGTCTTTCCCCCTAGATAAACCAAAAAAGATACAATTTTAACTCACAGCTCCTAAACAAGGAAAATGGCCTCTACAATTGCCCTTCCTGTACCCTAACCACATACTTATTCAATCCTCATTCAACAGGAAACACCTACACTGTGTATTAATACCGCAGTATACTGTTGCTTTCTACCCCCCATACGTGTGTGTGTGTGTGTGTGTGTGTGTGTGTGTATTTCTTTCGGATTTAACACTTAACATACATTTATCATTTCCATTTGCTTGGATACATTACGATGTCTCTCAAGCTACTGCTCAATTCCAAGACAGTCTTCATATACGAGATAACTCCTCCAGGTCACTATGCCTCTGAGTATCTCTAATGACTTAGTCCATGGAAAATAAAGACAGTATGAGGTAAACACACACCAAGTCAGAACCAGTCATCACAAATACTAATAAAGAGGTTTCATAGCATAGAAGCAAAGAAGGTACGCTTCTATAGAAGCTCAGTGCCCTTACACTGAATATTGAATGAGAACCTACTCTGGCAGGCTCTGGGTCCTGTAAGGCACAGGACCCCCCAGCTTTGCAGGAGCCTGACGACGCCAGTCACAGCTCAGTGTGGACAGCGCAAGGGTACAAATGTGCTCAGGTATTACCAACACACAAAGTGACTTGAACAAACGGTGACACCGGGAAGAAGGGAATGATTTACCTTCAGATGGACTTAGAAGCAGAAAATCCGGTTGTTCAGTCTTGATTTAAAAAAAAAAGGCTTTCTGAAAATAAACATGTGTCACATGAAATGTTGCCAATGAGATTTACTCAAATCAGGTTTCAAACATACAAACACAATCTCACTTGGTTAAAGAATAGAACATAACTTAAAGAAGAAACAAACATTTCCGTATCAGAGTGAAGTCCTAAGGGAGGCACATTATTGAGGAAGTCTATGTTATATGGCTTACTTTAATATTTTTCTAGAAAAGCTACTACTACCAAGTTTACAAAACACCATGTGATGATTGCAATTTGTTCTCTCTGGCGTGAGGAAACAATCGCCCTTGTAACACTGAAAATACAAACTAGATTATGCACAACTACTAGCAGGGAGCCAACGGAATCTATCACAACTCAAACGCAAATCTATCCCAATAGCATACAGTTGGTATCCTATATTTTTCGTTCAGGATAATACGATTGTCCAGTCGCTCTCTTCTCTTCCGTACTACAACAAAAGCAAAAAAACAGGTTTCAGTATAAAAGCCAGCAGTGCCAGAATAGCTCATAACCAAACTTAATATTAATAATAACAATAATAATAATAATAATAAAGCTAAGGTTCTACAGAAGCTACTTCTGCTTTGAACATGAAGAAGCATATTTAGGAGCCTGCAGATAGCATGGAGGTTAAGGCAGCTGGATCCCAGGTGGCTGACTGCTGTTCGAGTCCCAGATCTGGTGGCAACTGGAAAAATAGATGCAGGGACCAGCAGTTAGCATAATGGCTATGTCACTGGACTCCCATGTAGTTGACTGCGGTTTGAGTCCTTGACCCAGTGGTTTAAACTCACGCTGGGCGCATGCGCATGTGTGCCCAAGATCCAGCGAGGAGACTGGAGAAGGGATTGCGGCATAGCCATCCCCTCTGGGGGGTGATTTCTCGTTTTCTGTCTCTCTGTCTCTCTCTGTCTTCCTGGCTAGTGCACGCACCCTATAGCAAAGACCTCTCCAAAAAGAAAAGAAAAATAGAAGCTGAGTGCATGTGCTTGCATGCCCTCAAATCCCAAGAGTAGAATGGTGAAGACCCTGTCGTATGGACGACCACCCTCGGGGGGAGGGGGTGCTTTCTCATTTTCCTTCTCTCTCTCTTTCTTTCTGTCTCCTGCAAGAGCATGTACCCTGTGTGTATGGGGGGGGGGGACTATATTCAGGGACCAAGTAGTGGTGTAGTCGCATTGCAAATGGACCCACAAGAGGAGAGTCCCAGGTTTGCATCCCAAGACCTCCCACTGTATATCAGGTATGCCTGTGCCAGGGAGCCAGCTGGGAGTGGGGATGGACCACAGCATAGGGGTCCTCTCTCTGTCTTTCTCTATCTCTTCCTTTCATGGATTAAAAAATAAAAATATACATCAAGTCAGAACCACTCATGAATTCTAATAAAGAGGTTTCATAATAGAGGAACAAAGAAGGTCATTTCTACAGAAGCTCAGTGTTCATTCTTTCATTATACACATCGATAAGAGAGAAAGAGAGGAAGAAAGGAGGGAGGGAAACAGACTTACAAAAATAAAGGAAAAGCACACATGGGGAGTTTCTTGTTTGTTTGTTTGAGGTTTTTGCCATAGGGTACTTGTGCTCACCAGAGACAGTGAATGAGAGAGAAAGTGAGAAATCCTCCCCAGAGGGGTGGCCACCCCGCTATCCCTTCTCCTCCATTCTCCTCCTGGGATTTTGGGCACGCACACACATGCATCCAGAGTGATTTTCAAGCCACCATGTTCAGGGCCTGAAACGTGGCAGGCCATGTGGGAGTTCAGCATCTGAAACCACCATGCTGCCTCCAGGCCCCACATGGGATTTTTAAACAACAAATGCTTGAAAAGAATCACAAATGATATCATTATTGCCGAGCTCAAATTCACAACTGGTGGAGGTCCTTTATAAATTTAAGTACATGCCTCTACATTACCACTTTTGTTTCACTTCTGCTCTCCAAATTTAGTCATGAGCTAAACTGCATAGCTATTGTTCTCTTTCCTCTAAAGAACTGATGCTCAAAGTGCGTTCCCCAGAACACTGGCATCAGCAGTACATGATGCAATGTTACAAATGCAAATTCTCAGGTTCAGTCTCAGACTCACTCAGTCAGAAACCTGGGATGGGTCCCAGCAACCTGCATTTCAGCAAGCACATTCCGGTGACTCTGATGTGTGCTTTTTGTGAATTGACATTCACGGACATAAACATTACATTCACAAGCCCATGGACTGTAGCAGATGCTTTGTTCTCTAAATCAATGTTGACTATACTACTTTAGCATTTCAACTTTTCTTACTCTTGTAAGTCGTGTAACTGTAATATTATTATAACCAGAATTCAATTATGTGCATCAGAAAATAATTCACTTTAAACACAAATCTGATTTTTTTAAAGAGATTTTTTTGCTGTAGGGTACAGGCGCTTGCTGGAGAGACAGAGAGAAAGTGAGAAATCACCCCACCCAGGGGGGATAGCCATGCCACAATCCTTTCTGCTCCATTCTCCTCTCAGGAATTTGGGCACGCATGCACATGTGTTCAGCCTGAGTTTTAAGCCACAGGGTCCAGGACTCAAACCACAGTCGACTACATGGGCCCAGCAACGTAACCATTATGCCATCTGCTGGTCCCACAAATCTGAATTTTAATATATAAAACCGAATTAAATGAAACAAAGATATTCCATGTCAGCAACACAAAGCTAAGCTAGTTCTTTCTATTCTACATTCATTCACTGAATCAACCATTCATTCAACAAATATCTGTGTTTAATTGAGCTCTCACCCTCTGGGCAATCACTGCATGCCAACGCCATTGTGCTTTACAGACATTACCTCATTTAGTCCTCACGGTAATCTGAGACAGAAGGTGCCATTAGCAATCTCCCATTTTAGGGAAGACAAAACTCCTAATATAAGGGAGATAAAAAACTTGCTCGAGATTGCAGTTAGCAAATGGCAGCACCCAGAGCTACCGAAGGGCTGTCTCACACCACATCCAGTGTTTGCGAACCACAGTAGGCCGTGTGGGAGACCAGACTGGCCTCCCTATTTCCACACAACCACGTATGAGGAGACTGACATGGAACAGATCTTCCTAACCCGGACTATCGGGCCACTGAATCTTCACTGTGTTTCTGTCTAAATTACTGAGGCTATGTATGTCTCCTTTTCACGTGACCTGGCTCTTTAGTCCCAATATAACTTTAGTTTAAATTAACACAAAACGTCACAATTTCTGAATTAGAATGTAAATGTCCATCTGAAATACAGGGGATGACTCACACATGTGAGGCCTCTGGATTTTATTTCTTCAGAACAATTCTACTTTTATCTGTTTTGTAAATTGGGGTTCCATTTCTTCTGAAGAAAGTTCTACTGCTTAAAAAGCAAGGGGTCAGCGGCAGCACAATGACGAGGCGATGCTCTGCAATGCTGGAGCCGTGTGGGAAGGTCCCAGGTTCTTTCACACATGCCACGATCCAGGCTGAGGCTAGGGGTGGGTCACAACATGAAGGCCCTGCTGGCATGTCTAGCTCTCCCCCTCTTTTTCTCTTGGAAGACATAAAAAACTTAGAATAGAAAAATCAAGTAGAAAGAGTAACAAATTTTAATCCAAGGGGCCAGCACGTGGTGTGGTGATTAAGGCACTGGACTCCCACATGGCTGACCACAATTCAATTCCTGGACCTGGGAGCTTGATAATCACACTGATCACATATGCGTGCATACCAAAAATCCCAGGAGGAGAACGGAGAAAGGATTGTGGCATGGTCATCCCCCTAGGGGGTGATTTCTCACTTTCCCTCTGTTTCCCCGCCCTTCCCAGTGAGAACACACATCCTATGGCAAAAGCACACAGACGTACATAAACTTTAATCCAAGCTTGCCTGTTTTACATGTAAGAATGCTAAGCTCTAGGTGACTCTTAGTATCAAGCCCAGTTCTCTTGTCTCTGTCTGATGATATTCTCCTGAATCAAACTGTACCTGTGCTGTGTTCCTCCTAATGATGTCAGAATAGAATCTAACTAAACTGGTAAAAATACAGGGGGCTGGGATCAGCAGGTGGCATGGTGGTTAAAGCTCTGGATTCCCACACAACTGACCGTGGTTTGAATCCTGGACCTGGCAGTTTTCTCTGTGTGTGTGTGTGTGTGTGTGTGTGTGTCTGGTGAGCACTTGTGCACTATAGCAAATTAAAATAAGTAAAATTAAATACTTCATTAAAAGGCAAGAAACAAAGAAAATGGGGGAGGGCAAAATGGGTCTACCTACCACCTTGTTATTTCCATGAAAAGGTGCATTAAGGAAGCCGAGAGCTTGACCTGCCTAACAAACAGCAGAAAGAGCTGCCCAGAAGGTGTAGCCTTCCCCTGTTGACTCTTACTACATGATGAATGCTGGTCAAAGCATTTTCAAAATCTGCCTGATTTGTGTATAATGTCAATGTGACTTAAAGTAAAAGCCCAAGAAGTGTTTTATTTCCCTTATTCCGATTCTCATTAATATATAAGACGTTTTTGCCATTAATAACATTGGAGCATTCAGTCTACTGACATTTCAGCAGACTTACAAAATTATAATTCATGACTGCTATCACTTCATCTTGAATCTCATTGGTTAAGGTAAATTTGCTTTCAATTAGTTGTTTTGGGCTTATAAATGACCGAAAAATCAATTTCGGTTACAAGGACAGTCATGGGCCGTATCACTCTATGAACCTGCATGGTATGTGTTGAGTTTTATCCCCTCAACCTGCAATTTATGCGTTTATGCAAAATCATAGCATTCTGAGATGTACTGAGAAATGTGGTATAAGTAATCCATAATGTCTAGACACAGGCATTTAGCAATCAGACTTTTCACTTGGCTGATGAATATTTCAATTAAAATTTTCAAAGAAAATAATTCTAAGAAGAGATGACAGGTTCCAATATAACTTTAGTTTAAATTAACACAAAACGTCACAATTTCTGAATTAGAATGTAAATGTCCATCTGAAATACAGGGGATGACTCACACATGTGAGGCCTCTGGATTTTATTTCTTCAGAACAATTCTACTTTTATCTGTTTTGTAAATTGGGGTTCCATTTCTTCTGAAGAAAGTTCTCCTGCTTAAAAAGCAAGGGGTCAGCGGCAGCACAATGACGAGGCGAGATGCTCTGCGTGTGGGAAGGTCCCAGGTTCTTTCACACATGCCACGATCCAGGCTGAGGCTAGGGGTGGGTCACAACATGAAGGCCCTGCTGGCATGTCTAGCTCTCCCCCTCTTTTTCTCTTGGAAGACATAAAAAACTTAGAATAGAAAAATCAAGTAGAAAGAGTAACAAATTTTAATCCAAGGGGCCAGCACGTGGTGTGGTGATTAAGGCACTGGACTCCCACATGGCTGACCACAATTCAATTCCTGGACCTGGGAGCTTGATAATCACACTGATCACATATGCGTGCATACCAAAAA